CACATACATGATGCTAGATGCACAATCACACATAGTACACACATTGCAAATAGTAAATATATTTTTTTTCGATCACTCCCTGTGTAATATTCTGTTATGTCATGTCCTGTGAATCACCTATGCAAGTTAGCAAGGCCAGTATTTTTATTTTTTCCAAGAAAGGTGACAACCCCACACACAAGCAGACACACACATTCACAGAAAGAGCCGGTACAGATATCTGGACAAACAAGATAGTTTCTTTCTAAAGCAGTCTTCAGTTGTAGTACAAAAGTGAAGACAATGTTTCAGTCAATACAAACGCTCACATAGGAGTCGAAACATTGTCTTCACTTTTTTATGCCAAATGAGCTCTGGAGCCCTGGGCCCTCTAATAGCAACCCACCGGGGGACCTCCCCCTATGATGGTGCGCACCACATCACCTCGCAACTCGTGATGTGGTGAGACTGCTTTCCCTAGATGCTTTTGGTGCAGGCATACATGCTCGGGCATCTATGAGAGAAATGCATCAGTACACTACTGGAGGAAGTATTGGGTGTGCTTGTACAGAAATGGCATGTGCTGTGTGTATAGCACTGCAACAGTTAACTAATTAGCATACTTTGTTTGTTTCTTTTTAAAACTAGATTCACTAGATTCTAAAAACATTTTAGCATAACATATATAACTTTCAGTTAGCTATTAGGTTATGCTAAAAGTAAGGACGATACAGTTCCTTTTTAAAAAGGTGCTACACACAGCAAGCAGTAACACAACCCAAAAATGCCACTAAATTGTATATATTTGAAAAAAAAATCAGAAAACTGACAGGTTTTGACTTATTTCATGCAGCCGTATTGCGGTTTTTTTTTCCTTTTTTTTAAAATTCTTTATTTATATCTGCACACATACACCAGACATGGGTCAAATATCAGCAGGCATGCTAAAAAAAAACACTGACAGAGTAGTACATGTTCATTTGTTTTGCAAAGTGTTGCTGTGAATGTCAAAAGCTTGATGTGAACATTCTTGTGTTCACGCTCATCCTCCATGAACCGTTTTTTGTTGGTTTTGTGATGTTACAGGGATTGTGATAAATGGGTTTTCTGAGCCAAATGAAAGCAGTTCAACAGCACAATAGTTAAGATACCCTCCTAAAGGCATTACATTGGAAATGTAGTCATACGAGGATAAACTGAGCCTTTTAATTGTGGCATTTTATTATAATCTTCTATTCGTAATATTTTCTCCACTTAGTTTTTCCATCCACACATATTGAATTGTTGGTGAAAAATTCACAACTCTAACAAGTAAAAGCTCAATAAAATATAAAAAAAAATTTAAAAAATCACAGATTTATATTGTTGCAACAAACTATCCCAAATAAAGGAGATGTGCAGATGAAAATGCTGCAAGTTCTAGACATAAAACTGTCATATACCCATAAAGGGTTAAAACTGAAAACTTTTACAAAGTTCTTAAAACAAGCAAACGAACAAAAATGCTTACAAATTATAAGAAATGTCAATATATGCTTCTTGACAAGAAAAGCTAATTTCTTAATTTAAAAATAAAATAAAAAATCAATCACTTTCAGCTGAAAAATGACCCAGTTAAATTTAATCTTACAGTTATCCCGGTTGCTTTGGTTTTACTATATAGCCTTTAAAAGAAAAGCTGCTTAGAAGCTACATCATTCACAGACTTACTCTGGACCTCATGATGAAGAAAGGATCCCTACTAGTAGCCAGAGGTCTTATGTACAGCAAAATAAGCAAACTCAGCCATATTAATATCTATATTTGGTCCTTAATATTGGAAGAATCCATCCGTTAAAGTGTTGAGCTAATAGTTTCCCCCTGTTTGACCATCATCTGATGTACTAGTAAAACATATTACGAGAAGGCATGTGCTGAACGCATTAATGCAGTGAAGAAGACCGTCTCAGATTTGCCTAAGACCCGTCACATTCCAAATTCCCAAGACTAATAAACAAGACGCCCTTTAGACAGATGCTGATATTGTCAGGAAGTGGATAAGACCTACAGGAGGAACATCAAACTGCATCTCCACAGCTGCTGTTGGGCTAAAATGCTCACAATTCTTTGCACGTCACGACATAGTATACGGATATTTATTCATACTTTCAGAATTTGTGAAGTTGAATATTTTTGTGTGATTTGCACCAAACAGTTTAAAATTCACTGGTCAGTTACCAGCACTTCACAAGTTAGATATGTATAAACCTATCTCCAAATGCTGAGGTTTATTTTGATTGGGGTGATTTAGTCATCACACCGTTGCACAGAAAATGTAATTAATCATTGTCTAGGCTTGAATAGTTCCTGTTATCGCTCCTCCCATGGAAAACTCTTAAGTGGGATATGTGTGGTGGCTGAGTGTGATTGTGGGGGTTGGTAAAGTTTAAGTGTAAAATGTTTGGGCATAGTTGGCTGATTAAGAGAGTGAGGGCTGCATGAGTGTGATTGTGTGAGGAGTTGGCCAAGTGTGATTGCATGGGGGGGGGGTCGATTTTATTTGGGGTTGATAGAGTGTAACTGTGTATTAAGTTGACTGAGTAAAATTGAGTGTGGGGCTTGTGTTTTTTTTCTTTTTTATACGTGTTTTACCCATCACCTTCTTATCTTTCTGCATGGAGAGATATAAAATCCCTGGTGGTGCCGTGGTCCTGCGAACCATATCCTTAGTCGTCCAGTGGGGAAGTGAGCATGTAGTCAGCACCTCCAACTGGTGTAGACCAAACAAATTCTCTTCCATGCCGGGACTCAATGAATGAGTCCGAGTGTTGCCTTGGCCGCAGCACTCAGACTCATTCACAGAACCACAAGTGAGTGCTTAATGCTTAAAGTGCTCGCTGTAGGAATTTGTTATTTAGTATATTGTGAAAATGGCATTATACCAAATAGTGGTTCTGCTGGGGGAATGGTTTCAGTTTGGCAAGGGCACACCCTTAACAGGCGGAACTCCAGGGCCAAGTAGCAATAGCAGATGTCATGACCCTGGTCATTTTGCCACAATGATTTACATGGCTTTGCTGCTTTCAGGGAGCATTGCAAATTTTGCAAAGTCCCTCAATGTTACATGTTTACTTTGTATGTGACATGCTCAAGGGCACAAGATAGTCTATGGGCAACACCCCAACGAATATACAGGACCCTCCATTGACCAACATCTGGGATCTGCAAGAAGATGCTGCTTTCAAAGAGCTATCCCTAGCAATGGCTATAGGAATTGCCAACAATGTACAATGTCCTCCCTTTTTCAACTTTTTGTCAACCTCAGGCTTTAACATAAGACAAAGTAGTCCTTATTGTCTTATAATATCATTTGATTGTTCTCTTATGGGTATGACCACACCTTCGTTCTTATCACTACAGCCAACTCCTACAGATTGCCAGGTGGAGCTCTGGCTTGTGAAGTCCTGTCTCATCCATCAACAATCAGTGCATGATGTTAGGACAGCATATGGGTTTAGATCAACTCACCTTATTGCCGACATTTGTATATCTCAGCAAGAGGACTTTTTTTGTGAGTAACTGACCATGACAGAAGATACTGGGAGTTAAAAGCATACCTCCCAATTAGGACAGAAGTGTGTGGGTAGCTTGAAGACATGCCACCTACAAAGTGGCAGCCACTGGTGACATGTGGTGACATAATGTGAGCACATTGTCCTGAATTTTGACAAAGCATTCTAGGATGGGTAGACTCTAGTAGTCATCCCTTTATGGAGGCCATTTTTCCGGTATCCCCATAGGTGAGACTATGGTGAAAAACTCCTGGGTGGAAAGGGATAGAGGGGCACAATACCCAGGTTTCATTTGGGAGACATTTGTTAAGATTGGTACTTTCCACTTTACCTTGCCCCTTACTGGAGTACAACTGTACCTATTCATTACAGTCCTGGAAAGAGTGGCAGTTTTTTTCTTTTAAGAAGAAAAAAAATAGAAGGACAAGAGTACATGATTTTAAATTGGAAATTACTGCTAAGCCTCTATTAAAAATATTATTTTGGTCTATTTCGTCTGTGAATAAAAAGAGAACGAGTGTCTATTTAAGACGAATGGCCTGTCACCACGTTGTGGCGAGGATTTAGTTTCAAAAGATGTCATTGCACTGATCTGTACTGTAATACATTGCTTGCAAAGAAAGCTGTGTGGGTCGGGGCAGACAGTTAACTCTTGGTTATGTATCAACAGGACAATATATTGGGAAAACCACAACAAGTACAATACAGGATTGGTGCTATAAAGGGATTTCACATCATGTCTATTACTGTCAGACTTAATTCCTAAAGTTTGATTTGTTGGGAATTCACAGTGCATTAAAAGTCCATTTCCGAATTTCTCTATAATAGCTATGTTTTCAGTACCGCTGTTTTGGCCGAAAATTCTAAATTTACTTTCAATTCAGCATAGGTCACACTTTAACAAAGGATCCTATATCTAATCCTTCATTTTTTATGTAAAAGATTAAAGTATAAAGTTAAAAAAAAAGAGAAATCAATATTTTAATAATATAATATTATATAAAATGTTTAATATATACGTATACATACATATATCTCCAAACACACATACAAGTCTATACTAAAAAAATGCATCTACGCATCATCCTGTTTATTGCTCCATTTATGTATATATTTCATGTCAATTCACTGTACATGTAAAAAGGAAGATAATGAAAAATTACCTGCATGTTATAATAGATTTAAATTACATTATTAGATTTTGTTTTAATTCTGTTGTTTCAAATCGCAATTCTAAATTGGGAGATTATCACTCTTTGCAAACACTATAAACATAAATGCTTTTCCATATGTCTGTACGTACATTCTCAATGTATCTTGTGTCAATCAGTGGTCCAGAGAAGAAAACATATATCCTCTACATGTTTACAGATGGTATTTATGTGACTTTCCATATATAGAGAACACTAATGCTGTATTGGCAATTTTCAAAATGTATAAAGGTAGTTGAGACCACAGTATCTCAGGACTTCACTGACTGCTTCTAGAGGTAAGTGTCAGGCAGTAGGTTAAGAAGAACTGTATTGATAAATTATAATCAGATTTTAAGTGTGTTTCTAAAGCCAATTCATTGAAAATATATGATTGATTGTTCATAAATGCTAATCTTTAATTTAATTTTAATTCAAATAAAATTAAAAATTGTGTGTTTAGTGCTTCTCAAAGAAATGTAATTAATTAGAAGCAAGACAAGGCCAAATGTATGTATTTAGAAAAAAAGGTGTCATATTAATGAAATACGTCTAAAAAGCCAGCCAGGGGAAAAAATACATATATGGAAGAACATTCTAAGGTTAGCGTTGAATATGGGGGGAATAAAAGACGAACTATCTAGCAAATGCCATACAGAATCTTCTGCAATTATTGTATCAACAGATACATCAGGATAATAAAATGCAAAAATCAAATAGCTCTTTTTCATGATTTACTCATCATTCTAAATCACTACAGTGAAAGGAAGACTGAATTTGATGGGCACAAGTCTCTTTTCAGCTATGCAACTATGTAACTATTTAACTATGAAGAGGTTAGAGGTAAAATAGAGAGCTAAAAAGGAAGGTGTAAAACCACAAAGATGAATCACTATAGCCATGGAGCCCATAATTAAGCTTTTAATGATAAAATTAGCCAGGCTCCATTGACAGTGTCTAAAAACTGGAGATTTGTGTGTCCAATTGAAAATATGGCAGTGCCACCAGCAGAGTAGAATATGTAATATTTGGATATGTCCAGAAATTTTGTTTTTAGGTACTTATCCATGGCATCCTTACAGATTGACTCTGGGACTACCCACATTAGTGATAAAATGGTACATTATCAGCCATTAATAAGATAAATAAGAGATCTCTCCTTCAATACATTTAACAAATGTGAAGTTTCTGAGAGATACTTCTTCTTATGCTAATAGCGGAATATGAGATGTAGTGGAAGTCCACAAAATATGATTCAACTGTGCAACTCACTTTATCCATCACATTATATCAATTTTGAATAGTAAAATGATTTCAGACTTCATGCTGAAGAGTTCTCATATTCCCTTTGGTGCAGCTAATAGCATGGCCTGAGGAGGGCAGCCTTGACTTAAGAACTGGCCTAGAGGCCATTCAATAAAGACTATGGAGCCCCTCTCACGACAGGACTGTTAGCCAGTAGAAGGTCTTAGATTAAGACCTTCAAAGCACACGAGTCATTGTGTGTAGTTGTCTTTTTTAACAGTTTTCTTTCAATTACATTAGGAAATTACAGGGGGCAAAATCAATGAGGCTGAAAAACAGGAAACATTACGTGCAATATACTCAAAGCTTTAGTAGAACTATCACAGTCCATACATTTTATATATCTACTTTTTTCTATTGAAATTCCATATCTGATTCCATGTTTTAATGATAGACATGAGGAAGGACGTGGAGTAATAATATATCATAGATCGTTGTTCTTCGAATCTATCCCAGTTAGGACCTACCAACACACCACGACTTTCTTATCTTTGGTATCTTAAACTTCCACTGCACCAATTATTGTATGGTAGCAATTAATGTGAACTTTTAGTTTGGAAACAGCTGATGTGCCAAAGCAAACTTTTGGCTTTGTATAGCGAGCACTACCATTAAAAGAAAAATATAAATTGCAAAATGTTCATAAAGTCTTTTTATGGATAAATTAGCTTTTTAAAATATTTAAAAAAAAATTAAAGATACATACCAGGACATACTTGAAAACGAGAGAAATCTCAATGTATCCATCCTGGTAAAATATTTTATAAATAAATAAATATATATACATGTAACAGCAAATAATATGAATAGTTAGAAATGCAAAGTTTATATTAATAGATACAGTTACATACGTAGCATATATCAAAAGCTTATGCTCTCGTGATAGATGACATTCATTTATTGACATATGCTAACTGGAATGTTTAAAGGTTGACCAGGTAATTGAAATGTAACACTGCGAAGCTTTATTTTTTTTATTCTAGTATATTTGGTTTATACTGAAATATCTTTCCTTTGGTGAAGAATTGTGAAGACCAAAAAAGAAAATTAAACTTGTCTTACCTATTTTTATTTACAGAATATTCCCTTTTCAATCTTTTTCCACCTGGGAAGGATACTAAAGGTATGTCTTCTTATTTATTTCACTGAAATATAATATACAAACAAGCAATTATTTTTATTGAAAAACAAGCACATTTATTAATTAATCAGCTCATTCTTGCAATTTCTGTGAACGTTTATTTTCACACTCTAAGTGAATTGGTAATTTTGAATATCTTCATAACAACTCTGCAACCACAAATACATGCATATACTTTAAAGCAAAAAGTGTATAATTATATTTCATGCAAGTAATTTTAATTAAATTGCATTTTTCTTACCTTTTTTTTTAATAAACATGATATATGTGTAGTAAACCATCAACCATGGGTGACGGTGAGATGGCTGTATTTGGGGAGGCAGCCCAATTCCTCCGAAAAACTGACAAGGAGAGGATTGAGGCACAGAACAGACCGTTTGATGCCAAAACATCATACTTCGTGATAGACCCAAAGCAGATGTATGTGAAGGGAGAAATTCAGAGCAGAGAAGGTGGCAAAGTCACTGTGAAAAAAGAAGATGGCACAGTAAGTTGCAATATGTCATTCGTTAAGCCCGAAAACACTTACATAGAGAGGTATTACAACAATTTTAATTCAGATATTTTATAAACCTCTTGACTTCCTAAACTACAGAAATATATATTCTAATGAGTTGAGAGAGCAATGTCTTCCAAGTAGAATTACATTTGTGTCCAACTTTAATTAAGTATTTACTTCTGATAGTATATGTTTTCTTTGACTTAGACTGTCACAGTAAAGGATGATGACGTCTTCCCTATGAACCCACCCAAGTACGATAAGATTGAAGACATGGCCATGATGACCCACTTGAACGAACCCTCCGTCCTGTATAACCTCAAAGAGCGTTACGCAGCCTGGATGATCTACGTAAGGACTCTTGTTCTTTTTTAGCACCTACATTTGACTAAAGCCATGAAATAGGAGTGTTGAAAGCTACATTGTGGATTGTTAGTGACACTAAGATATAACAAAATATTAGGGTGGGAAAAAAGCTGGGGTAAAATGCTATGAATAACTGCTATGCTATGAACAACCTGCAAATTATTTCGGAGGATCCCATTCTATGTAAGTACCAACAGTAAGGATCTCTATTTTGTGATGTTTTTCCCACCTTTGCAAAAGATCAACCGTAAGTAACCAGAAAATATGCACCGTAGAAAGCTGTTCAGGGGATATTATTTCACTTTATAATATAATATATAATGTAATCTATTACATTTTAAGTGTTTCTATGGTATTTTAGGATCCAATACATGTCTAACTTTACTTTGTATTCTTCTTTAGACCTATTCCGGCCTGTTCTGTGCTACAGTCAACCCCTACAAGTGGCTGCCTGTGTACAACCCCGAGGTGGTCAATGCTTACAGAGGCAAAAAGCGTCAGGAGGCCCCACCTCACATCTTCTCCATCTCTGATAATGCCTATCAGTTCATGTTAACTGGTAAGCAGCCAATTATTTTAAGAAACAAGAGACAGAAAAATAGAGTAGATGTCCTTTTGTTTGTAATGGTTATTTTATCTTAGCCTGTGACACACAGTTTGTTTAAATTGTATAACTTTTTCATGCTGTTTGTTTTGTTTTTTAATTTCTAGATCGTGAAAATCAGTCAATCCTTATTACGTAAGTATACATTTATTATTATTTATATTAGTAAACTATTCCATAAATATGTACCGCAATAAAAATGAGCATTTCCAAATCATTATTCTATTTATAATTATTATTATTCATTATTTAGAATGGTAACAAATACAGAAATTACTTTCTCTTAATCTCATGATCTCCCGTGATCCCGTGATCTCATGATCTATTTATAATACATGAAATCAAACGTCCCAATTCACAAGCTTTTATTCTGTGTTTAGCACAATTGAAGGATGATTTCACCTCAGTTACATATTTAAAAAGTCATTCTGGAGCCAATCACTAAATCTGGAGCAATCAGTAGTACCATCATTTCCATGTTGACTGCTCAGTTTGTACAAAACCTGTCTTGGAATATCCAATGTGTTGTGAAGTCAAGGGACATTTCAGACTATGGTCTTGATTTAATATTTTGGAAAATATTTTCAAATCATTGCCATCTATATCACATATTTACCTACAAAAATTCCAATATATTTTAATGGTGTCTTCAGTAGATAGGTCATTTGAAAAGTTTTTCTAGCAGATTGCGATCATTTGGAAAACGTATCCAGAAATATTAAATCGAGGCCTATGTTATAGCAAACCTGAATACTAAAAACCATAGCAAATATAGTTCCTCACTGGCTATATTACCTAATCAAATCTTCCTGTGTTCCCCAGTGGAGAATCTGGTGCTGGAAAGACTGTGAACACGAAACGCGTCATCCAGTACTTTGCAACAATTGCAGCTACTGGAGACAAGAAGCAAAAGGAGGCGGAGAAGAGCAAGGTGAATTAATAAAATATAATGCATTCACTGGAATTAAACAAAGATCTATTTAAATATTGTTACAAACAATAAACATTATACATCTTAAATTGAAGATTCTATCCTTGCTCATATGAATAAAGTAAGGAGATGCACATGAATCAGTACAAATTCATTTTTTCTAGGGCACTCTGGAGGATCAAATCATCCAGGCTAACCCTCTCCTGGAAGCCTTTGGCAATGCAAAGACCGTGAGGAATGACAACTCATCCCGCTTCGTAAGTCAGCCCTCAAACTACAATAAGACTGCGCTAGCTCTGTAACATTGCAAGAAAGAATATTAGACAAAGAATACCCTAAAAGTCATACATACATAAATATACACAGATACATATGCAATTTTTCTTATAAATAATATATTTAAATTGACCACTATCCAACAGGAATCTCTCTTAAAAGCACTAGTATAAACATCAAATAATATGTTATACACAAAGATATACTTGTAGCTTATTCCTGGTTAGATCCAGTGCAATCAATAGTCTTTCAAGTATCTGTTTAAACAGAGTCACAAATATGATTAATAGAAGAATCAATTCTCAAGGGCATCTCTTTATAATTATGCTTCCAAACCATTCCATTTATTCCATATTAATATCCACAATGTAAAAAAACTAATTTCTTTATGTGCCCCAGAAACTTAATGCAGGCCTTGTGTCTCACCTGTACCTTCTCAAAACAAATTGTTCCTGCCTGTCCCAGAAATTCCATACACCCCTTGGATCTCACCTGCCACCTCCCTTCCAGATTATAATCTTGTGCGTCTGAAATAAATACTTAAAATCCAGGGCGAAAACTACTTTGTTACATATTCCTCTTCTGACAAATACTTTCATAATCATAATAATTTAAATTATGAACTTCATTTATTAATGTTTACAATTTTAGGGTAAATTCATCAGAATCCACTTTGGGACTACTGGCAAGCTGTCATCTGCTGATATTGAAACATGTAAGCTGGAAAATGTAATATATAACTTCATAAAGTGAAAGACTGTAAGTCAAGTCATTAATATTGTATACTTGCTTTTTCAGACCTTCTGGAAAAATCCAGAGTCACATTCCAGTTGTCAGCAGAGAGAAGCTACCACATCTTTTACCAGGTTATGTCCAACAAGAAGCCTGAGTTGATCGGTAAGTTGGTATGAGATACAACTGTCAGAAAACTTGAAAAATGTTTAAAAATAGAAAAGGCAATGTTCAAATAATAATCTGAAGTTGGGAACTTTTTTGTATGCAGTAATAAGTGCATTTCTAATATTTTACAGACCAGCTGCTGATTACAACCAACCCATATGACTTCCCACTTGTCAGCCAAGGTGAAATCACAGTGGCCAGCATTAATGACCAAGAGGAACTGATGGCCACTGATGTACGTTCCTTCAACATCATGTATGTTCTGATGTCATGTTTCCATTCTGCACCATAATAAATATTTCCCCAACTCCATGTTTTCACAGGAAGCCATTGACATCCTGGGTTTCAATGCTGATGAGAAAATAGGAATCTACAAACTGACGGGAGCGGTTATGCACCATGGCAACATGAAATTCAAGCAGAAACAAAGAGAGGAACAGGCTGAGCCAGATGGCACAGAAGGTAAAAATAGGACATTACCCTTTGGTTACCCATGGACAAAGTGAATAAAATAACACAGTAAAAAAAAAAAACACTTCTCCCCAAAGTGGTTTCATTTTAAAACTTTCTTACCTTACCTTAACTTATGTCACAATTAAAGAAAAATAGAATTGTGTTGCTTTCAGGTCAAAAAATTTAACTTGTGAAATCTAAGCATCACACTAAGATAGAGCTAGTGGCCTCAGTGTGGCATCAAAAGCAGGAAATTTCAAAGCATTTTTTTCCAACTATATTTCAGTGGCTGACAAAATTGCCTATCTGATGGGTCTCAATTCATCCGATTTACTGAAGGCCTTGTGCTACCCAAGAGTCAAAGTTGGGAATGAATATGTGACCAAAGGTCAAACTGTGAAACAGGTAATTTCAGTGCAATATCTGCCAAACATGAGTGAAAAAGTCATCATTGCTTGAAATGATTTCAAATTTTTTATTTGTTGAAAGGTTCACAACTCAGTTGGTGCCCTGAGTAAGTCAGTCTATGAGAAGATGTTCTTGTGGATGGTCCTTCGTATTAACCAGCAGTTGGACACCAAACAGCCAAGACAGCACTTCATTGGTGTCTTGGACATTGCCGGCTTTGAAATCTTTGATGTAAGAATGACATAATGTGTCTGTGGCAAATCATTCATGAGATATGTAAAATGTGACACTTATATGTACGATTCTTATTTTTTCTTAATCAGTTCAACAGTTTGGAGCAGCTGTGTATCAACTTCACCAATGAGAAACTGCAACAATTCTTCAATCACCACATGTTCGTCTTAGAACAAGAGGAATACAAGAAGGAAGGTATCGAATGGGAGTTCATTGACTTCGGCATGGACTTGGCGGCTTGCATTGAGCTTATTGAGAAGGTAAAGAATAATGTTCGCTAGAAGTTATCTTTCAAAACACAGCATCTCTCATTATGAGTACAACACTTGTAGCACAAGAAAAAACCTTCAGATGATATTGAAGTTAAAAATAATTACAATTTAAAACCAAAACAATATTATATATTCAATTTATTTAAACATATTCCCATAGAGAAATGGATAAATTAATATTTCTGTTAAAGTATTGCTCCATTAATTGACTGTTTTCATGGTATAATCAATAGCCAATGGGCATCTTCTCCATCCTTGAAGAGGAGTGCATGTTCCCCAAGGCAACAGACACTTCATTCACCAATAAACTGTATGATCAGCATCTTGGCAAGTCCAACAACTTCCAGAAACCAAAGCCTGGTAAAGGCAAAGCCGAGGCTCACTTCTCCCTTGTCCACTATGCTGGGACAGTGGATTACAACATCAGTGGCTGGCTGGACAAGAACAAGGATCCACTGAATGAAACGGTCATTGGGCTGTACCAGAAGTCTTCTGTGAAACTGCTCTCATTCCTGTACTCCTCTTATGCTGCAGACCAAGGTAAGTAAGCTTGATAAAAACACAATATGGTATATTTCCATGTCAGCATGTCTATAGCATTGTTTCTCTATATTATTGTAGTAACATGGTGATATAATAATGGCCATAGATTATCATACTACATTTTTTTAAAAATTCTACTTCAGAAACTGGTGGCAAGAAGGGTGGTAAGAAGAAGGGGTCTTCTTTCCAGACTGTGTCTGCTCTTTTCAGGGTAAGTGCAATATTAAAGTCTTCCCTACCAATTCCTTTTTTGTGTTTTTGTATGTATATATGTCATTATGTAATATATCCAATCTACAGGAGAATCTGAACAAACTGATGTCCAACTTGAGAAGCACTCACCCCCACTTTGTACGTTGTTTGATCCCCAATGAGACAAAGACTCCAGGTGGGTAAAAAGAAACAAAAAAATAAATTAAAAAAACCCTTATGCGGCTTGGCTCTGCCATAACTGGAGTCAATGAGTATTGACTGAGCACTGTCTGATTGTTAATGGAAATTTTCCTTTTAAGGTGTGATGGACCACTACCTGGTCATGCATCAGCTCAGGTGTAACGGTGTCCTGGAGGGAATCAGAATTTGCAGAAAAGGTTTCCCAAGCAGAATCCTATATGGTGACTTCAAACAGCGGTATGAATCATTCACAAATAATTAAATAAAATAAACATTCTATAATAGTGTACAGTTGACTTGGATGAGAAAAGTAGTATCTGATTTTGTATCTATTATATATTTATATATATAAATTTCTCTATTGTATGACAGTTACAAGATCCTCAATGCCAGTGCTATCCCAGATGGTCAGTTTATTGACAGCAAGAAGGCTTCAGAGAAACTTCTTGGATCCATCGATGTTGACCATACTCAGTACAGATTTGGGCACACCAAGGTAAATGGTGTAACTGAATAATTATTTTAACAAGCTAGATTTACAGCATAAAGTCACTACTACATGTACTAATTTTGATAGCACATTTGTCATAGAATCAGGGCTATAGAAAGATTTTGAAAATTAATGAAAATCTGTTAGCGTTATATAATCTTTTTACAATTAAAATTATTTGCGATACATAGTTTGTCAGAAAAAAGCAGATGAAACACTATTGGGTTACATTAAATATCATGTCATTGTAAAATCTTATAGGTGTTCTTCAAAGCTGGTCTCTTGGGTACCCTTGAAGAGATGCGAGATGAAAAATTGGCTGAGCTGATCACTCGTACTCAGGCTATTTGCAGAGGATACCTCATGAGAGTAGAGTTTAAGAAGATGAATGAGAGGAGGTACTTTACTTATATGTTATAATAAAAAATATATCATCTACATAATAAATGTTTGATCTGTATGCTAAATCAAATCCATGTATTTTTCTAGGGAATCAGTCTATTGTATTCAGTACAATGTCCGCTCATTCATGAACGTCAAACATTGGCCATGGATGAAGCTGTACTTCAAGATCAAGCCTCTTCTGAAGAGTGCAGAATCTGAGAAGGAAATGGCAAACATGAAAGAAGAGTTTGAGAAGACAAAGGAAGCTCTTCAGAAGTCAGAAGCCAGGAGAAAGGAACTAGAGGAAAAAATGGTCAGCATACTCCAGGAAAAGAATGACCTACAACTCCAAGTTGCATCTGTAAGTTACTTAAATACAGGATCTATAAAATCACACTTTAGCTAAAATGTCTTTATTTAAAATGTGCAATATTGAATATCAATAATCACAGAGACATACTTATGTAATTTAAAATATATATATATATATATATATTAATAAATTAGCAATATATGCATATTTACTTGGTCTTCCTGATGCATTTCCACAGGAATCAGAAGCTGTGTCAGATGCAGAAGAAAGATGTGAGGGACTGATCAAAGCCAAGATTCAACTGGAAGCAAAGGTCAAGGAAATTAATGAAAGGCTGGAAGATGAAGAAGAATCTAATGCAGAGCTAACAGCCAAAAAGAGGAAACTGGAGGATGAATGTTCCGAGCTGAAGAAAGATATTGATGACCTTGAGCTAACATTGGCCAAGGTTGAGAAGGAGAAACATGCCACAGAAAACAAAGTAATATATTTTCATTATTATCTACAATAAGCTTTAAATATTATAGTAGATAAACAATGTGAAAAATAAACAAAATACAAAGTGGAATAATGCTTAGGAAACATTAGTATATGATTTTGTTTTCATATACTTTGATTCTAGTCATACAAATGACACATAACACGTCTGACACACATATATTAATCCAAACGTCTAAATCTAGGTGAAAAACCTTACAGAAGAATTGGCTGTTCTTGATGAGAACGTTGCCAAGTTGACTAAGGAGAAGAAAGCCCTTCAAGAAGCCCACCAGCAAACTCTGGATGACTTGCAAGCTGAAGAAGACAAAGTCAACTCTCTTACCAAAGCCAAAACCAAACTGGAACAACAAGTAGATGATGTACGTACATATGGTGCTATATTCTGACTTTTGTGACGGTGATGATAAAGATTGTGTTGCACGAGTGACAGTTACACATTTTTTGTCTTGACTTTGAAATTATGAAAACAGACTCGTGTTGAGTGTTTAATACTATATCTAATGTTCCATTAGCTTGAGGGTTCACTGGAGCAAGAGAAGAAGCTTCGCTTGGATTTGGAGAGAGCCAAGAGAAAGCTGGAGGGTGATCTCAAGTTATCCCAGGAATCTACAATGGATCTGGAAAATGAGAAGCAGCAGCTGGATGAAAAAGTTAAAAAGTAAAATAGAGTTAGCACTGTAACCCTATCTTACTAACTCCAACATCTCTGCGTAATTCATTTTCCTGTCTCCTTTTCTCTTCCCTATTACTCTTTTATACTAAAAAATTGTGCTACTGAATTTGAGTGTATTTATTCATGTCTAGATAATCAACCTGATATTCATGTTTCTTGCATTCATTCATCCAATGCCTGGATTTTTTTGGACATCTGCATGTTGGAATACATGCTTAGCCGTCTGTGAATTATTTCCAATAAAATCCAATATAATTTGAGAACCCATCTTAGTTAATAACTGATGCTATCGTCTAACGAGATTTTTACAGATATCAAGAATAAACATTATTCCTAGATGTATGCTTCTTGTTCAACAGGAAGGAATTTGAAATCAGCCAACTGCAAAGCAAGATTGAAGATGAACAAGCTCTGGGTACTCAGCTGCAGAAGAAAATCAAAGAGTTACAGGTAACCTTCAAATCAATACACAACAATTGATATTTGAAGCTCAAGGCCGAGTTTATGACTATACTATTTTCTCAACACTACAGGCCCGTATTGAAGAGCTGGAAGAGGAAATTGAAGCAGAACGAGCAGCTAGAGCCAGAGCTGAGAAACAACGTGCCGACTTATCCAGAGAGCTTGAAGAGATCAGTGAGCGTCTGGAAGAAGCTGGTGGAGCAACCTCAGCTCAGATTGAATTGAACAAGAAGCGCGAAGCAGAATTCCAGAAGATAAGACGCGACCTAGAAGAGGCCACTCTACAGCATGAGGCCACAGCCTCCGCACTCCGTAAAAAGCATGCCGATAGTGTTGCAGAACTTGGAGAACAAATTGATAACCTTCAACGTGTTAAACAGAAACTGGAAAAGGAAAAGAGTGAGCTGAAGATGGAGATAGATGACCTGGCCAGTAACTTGGAATCTGTCTCCAAATCTAAGGTATGGACTAAGCATATGCAAAAGAAAAACAAGAAAAAAAGCAAACAAACATAGATTATTTTCTTGCATCATTAACTGGCTGGTGATATTTTCTGACTTTTTTGGTCAGTATCTTGCAGCAGTTATCAAAGTAATTACAATCCAAATTTTGACAGTAACGCTGTTAAAGTCAGAAAACGTTATTGACCGAAAAAAAAGGCCTACATTGTTATTTCTAATGTCTCAATGTTGAGCTTGATAGGTTGAAAGTGCAAGGCTAACAACAAAAACAGGATTAAAGATAGAGACAAGCAATTGCTTTGATAGTGGCTAACAAGTGGCGGGCACCCAATTTTACATATTATGTTAAATATGGACATTGCAGAGTGCTTGTGTTTCTTAAAGGTATCTGACAGAATTTAAGAGTTTAATGTAACATATGAGGCCCATTTTCATCAATAATGGCAAAAGTAGTAAAGGTGGTATCAAAGTATTGAAATGGTGATGTTGCAGTAACATTGTCTTTGCTAATGGAGCATCGGCTGAAGTGTATGTAAATAGTGAATATGCACTTGTAATTTCCCTAATAGCTTTATGGTTTAAAAATATGTGAGTTATATACTTATCAATAGGCAAATCTGGAGAAGCTAAGCAGGACAATAGAGGACCAATACAGTGAAGTGAAGACTAAAGAAGATGAGCACCTTCGTGTCATTAATGACATCAATGGTCAGAAAGCGCGTCTTCAAACAGAAAACGGTAACTAGTCCATGCATTAAATATTGCTATAAGTATGTACTAGAAAAGGTAAAAGATATCATTTAATATCAAATTAATTGTATTTATTAGGGGAATACTCTCGTCAGTTGGAGGAAAAAGAATCTTTAATTTCTCAGCTATCCAGAGGCAAACAGGCTTTTACCCAACAAACAGAAGAACTGAAAAGACAGTTAGAGGAGGAGATAAAGGTATTTTTGTCCAATAAAAATAAGTTAAAAAAATGCCAACTGTGTCTTGCTTATAAGTTCTGAATTGCTTTGCTAGAGGAACACAAGCGTTTTCCTAACGTTATAGTGACCTACTAGTTATTTAGATTACTGCCCCCCAATGTGAAGTAAAAATTTTGTTTCACTTACCTTTTCTCCATTCATGATGATCTGAGCCAATCCAATGCTTCCTCACAGGACCACACTGGGAAGCTTGTGCGCATGCATGGCAAATTGCCGCTCTAGGAGCAGCATTTGATTGAGAACTGACAGCCACTAGAGATGTGCTTAATCCTGCATTTCTCCAAAACTGTAATGTTGAACTAAAGGGCCACTGCCGCCAGACCACTTAATTGAAATGGTCCAGAGTAGTCCAAAAAAAAAAAAAAAATATTAAAATTGTCATGACCTAATTTTGATAAATATAGATTCATAATTTTTTTCCTTGTTTAACATTAATATAATGCCATGTCACCTTTAAGGCCAAAAACGCCCTCGCTCATGCCTTGCAATCTGCCCGACATGACTGTGACCTTCTCAGGGAGCAATATGAAGAGGAACAAGAAGCCAAGGCTGAGTTGCAAAGATCTCTGTCCAAAGCCAATGGAGAGGTTGCCCAATGGAGGACAAAATACGAGACTGATGCTATTCAACGCACAGAGGAACTGGAAGAAGCCAAGTATGTGTACTTTAGTTAGTACTATTCCTTCTGAAAAGGAAAGATTGAATTAACATAAACATTCAATTCTGGATCTATCCATGCACCTGTTTAAATATATCAGTTCACAGAATTATTTTTCTATTCAGGAATGGTGATGTATAATTAAACTAATTTATAAATAATAGTATTTGCTTAAATGAATTGTATCTATTTTTTTTTTTTTTTACAATGAGGAATCTCAAATATTACTTTTTTTTTGTTAACAGCTGGCAATGTAATGGCACGTTCTCTTTGTTAGCTGGTTTGTGGTTCTCCCATGACTACAAAAACATTTACAACATACAGTATTTGTCAAATATTACAATTGGTTCACTGCAGATTTGTAGAATTGTACTTTCAACTGTGTGTTTTTTTATTTTACAAATCATCAAATGTTTTTTTTTTCCCCCCTTAAAAACAAATCTTTAAACAAATCTTTAGTTTAAAAAGACACTCATACAATCTGATATTAATATAACAGGAAGAAACTCGCTCAGCGTCTCCAGGATGCGGAAGAACAAGTTGAGGCTGTCAACTCAAAGTGTGCATCTCTGGAAAAGACCAAGCAGAGGCTCCAAGGAGAGGTGGAAGATCTCATGGCTGACGTGGAGCGTTCCAACTCTGCCTCTGCAGCTCTTGACAAGAAGCAGAGGAACTTTGACAAGGTTTATTCCCTATAATATACATCTAATGGAATATTGTCAATTTACTTAAGACAATTTAGAAATGCAGCCTTTTTTACACTACAAATATTTTCAACATATCAATTAAACAACAAACAAGATGAATGAATAATGAATAAGAAGCCAACACTAAGCCATTGTATGTTTTCTTTCTTTGAGGGAACAAATGACTCTCAACTTCACATATGTGTGTGAGAGACTTTTACATAAAAAAATGCTTTGTTTTATTACATAGGTTCTGTCTGAATGGAAGCAGAAATATGAAGAAACTCAGGCAGAGCTAGAAGCCTCTCAGAAGGAGGCCAGGTCTCTGAGCACAGAGATCTTCAAGATTAAGAACTCCTATGAGGAATCTTTAGATCAGCTTGAGACTCTCAAGAGAGAAAACAAGAACCTTCAACGTTAGTATGATGTGGATGTTAAACTTGTTTAAATCAAAATTATTTTTCTTTCAAAATGTGGGTTGTTAGATGGCAAAAAGACCAGGGACTTTATCCCAAGCATAAATTGTATAGCCCCTCCATCATCTATTGATTTAAGCCCCTCCTAAAACAAATTATATAAGTGGAGGTGTTTCTCTCTCTGTGTTACAGGGACTCAGGGATAATAAGTAAACAAGCCCAATATTAAACTTGGGGATTTCCAAAACTTCACACTGGGCTCCAGCCCCTGTCATCTCCTGCAACCTTCACTTCACCTCCACCCCCACCCCAGTAACACCCCTGTCATTCAATCTTGAAATTGTTAACTTTCAATGCACCAGTTCTTAACTTGCCATTCATTGTGTTTTTCCAGAGGAGATCTCTGATCTGACAGAACAAATTGCAGAGACTGGAAAGAGTATTCATGAAATAGAAAAATCCAAAAAACAGGTGGAGCAAGAGAAATTTGACTTGCAGTCAGCCCTGGAAGAGGCAGAGGTAAGTATTGTTTTAGCAATATTAAAAACATGTTTATATGCTATTTTTGCATTACTCTAAATGTACATATACATATTTCCCTAGGGCACTCTGGAGCACGAAGAGGCAAAGGTAATTCGTATACAACTTGAGCTGACTCAGATAAAGTCTGAGGTGGACCGAAAAGTTGCTGAGAAAGATGAAGAGATTGAACAGCTGAAGAGGAACAGCCAGAGAGCACTGGATACATTGCAAAGTTCCCTGGATTCTGAGATCAGAAGCAGGAATGATGCTCTCCGAATCAAGAAGAAGATGGAAGGAGATCTTAATGAGATGGAGATTCAGCTCAGCCATGCCAACCGCCAGGCTGCAGAAGCACAGAAACAACTCAGGAATGTACAAGCACAAGTTAAGGTAAATTACTGTAAAAAGCAAAATGCTTAATTTTGCATACATATGTGTTTGAAGATGACATTGCTTTCTATGTATGTAGGATGCCCAACTGCATCTCGATGATGCAATTAGAGGAAATGAAGATTTGAAGGAACAGTTGGCTATTGTTGAAAGACGCAACAACCTCATGACTGCTGAACTTGAAGAAATTAGATCTTCACTGGAACAGACTGAGCGTGCACGCAAATTGGCAGAACAAGAACTTCTTGATGTCACAGAGCGTGTTCAGCTGCTCCACTCTCAGGTAAGAACGTTCTAAGAGTCATTGATCACAGCTTTTAAATATAAACATATCTGTAAACTGGGGCCTCACTTGTGCTCCTTCTCCAACAAACAGAATACCAGCCTCATCAACACCAAGAAGAAGCTTGAAGCTGATGTCTTCCAACTACAGAGTGAAGTTGAAGAACAACTACAAGAATCTAGGAATGCAGATGAAAAGGCTAAGAAGGCCATCACAGATGTATGTCTAGTTACTAAGAAGGCCATCACAGATGTATGTCTAGTTACCAATGCCTACTATGCATTATGAGAGACGCTTAATCCAATAACTAAAATATGTTTTGGTGATTCTACCAGGCTGCCCTGATGGCTGAGGAATTAAAGAAGGAACAAGACACTAGTTCTCACCTCGAGAGGATGAAGAAGAATCTGGAACAGACAGTGAAGGATCTCCAGCATCGTCTGGATGAGGCCGAACAACTGGCATTGAAAGGAGGAAAGAAACAACTCCAGAAATTAGAATCCAGGGTGAGTCATTGTATCATGAACTTTCTGGTCAGTGTAAACAAGGAAACATTTTTAACCCATCATGGACATAACTTCAGAAATAAAAGCCCTGCATGATGGAACATTTTTGGTATGTGTCATTAAGTGGTTAAACGCAACACTGATGTCAAGTAACATTTTTATATAAATATAATTTGATATATATAAGACATGAACTGGAGTCTAGCAATTGGTCTATTTATTAGAGCAGGCATGTCATCGTTTTTTTTCTAAAGGAGTTTCTGTGGCAAGTGATAACCAATAGGAGAGCCACAATTGCCACAAAGCCATGTGGCAATTGTTTAGCAAATTTATTCTAACAGAAAGGATACAACTTAGCCAACATGGGAAAGCTGTTTATTATGATTTTGAAAACACACAGGTGGTCCTTAGGAAGGCACTGTCAAAAGACCCCTGTTCAAACCCCTTGGTGATATTCTCCCCATATTCTCACTTATGACCTCTGCCCATATTCTCCTCGTGTCCCCCTCCCTCCCCATACTCCTCAAAACATTTATTAATACTGCATTGTTTGTCATTTTCTTTTTAGTTATATGACTAAGTTGCATGGGAGTAAGTTCCCAAGCAGACTGGCATATAGAAATTAATCAGATGGTTGTACAGTAGTCGTCGGGATGGAGATATATGACACTTGTTGGGTGACAATGAAAACACAGTGGTCTGTAAGCTCTGCAATGAGGTGTGTAAAGGAATGGTAGCAAAATTATAAAGGTTTGCCTAAAGATTTGCCTTCATCTCTAGTCAATTTTTTTTAAATGGAGGAATTATTTTGTGCAATCTTGTAAAAGAGAAAGTAGTGCCATGACTTAATTTGAAGAGGATGTATAGCTATTGCTAAATATTACAACTCAATTGGTCACTAGCATTATATATGCAGAACATCTGCTGGTGGAACTAAATAAACATTATAAAAAGTATGTAACTAGACCATATGAGCTATTTTCTATCCATTTGTTAGGTGCGTGAGCTGGAAAATGAGCTGGATGCCGAACAGAAGAGAGGCAGCGATGCCATTAAGGGTGTACGCAAGTACGAAAGGAGAGTGAAGGAGCTGACATACCAGGTGGGCTCAGTTTAATTATTTTTGATTTTGCTTCGTTCAATCCAGTGACCTATTAGACAAATATATTTAACTATGCATATAGTGAGCCCAAATGTTCATTTGTTTTAACAAATCACAGACTGAAGAGGACAAGAAGAACGTCCTCAGGTTACAGGACTTGGTAGACAAACTGCAGCTGAAGGTGAAAGCTTACAAGAGACAAGCCGAGGAGACTGTAAGTAGTAAATATTTGGCCAATTCTGGTTTTAACTACTAAGATGAAACAGGCATACTAACAACCCTTTTCTTCTGGTTAAGGAGGAACAGGCAAATATACATCTTTCCAGATTCAGGAAGACCCAACATGAACTAGAAGAGGCTGAGGAACGAGCTGATATTGCTGAATCTCAGGTCAACAAGCTCAGAGCCAAGAGCCGCGATATCGGCAAGGTATATATGTTTTTGATGCTTTGCCCTGATTTTTATTATTGATTATAATGCCACATATAACGCCCCTTAGCTTAGTCATTACACATTTACCAACAAGCAAAACTAACCTTATAATCAGATAGATTAAGAGTAGATTATTATTGGTAAATATACACAATGGACAGGAACAGGTCAAGTGATGGGTCCACTGGGGAGGTAGCAATGAGGTAAAGGAGTCAGAAATTAGATCAGATGAGCTGGTTTAATAGGGAATGTGAAGAATAAGGTCAGTCACTTGGTGCCAGAAAAGTTATTGAACTATGGAGGGTGAAGGAAGGTGATAATGACCAGCTAGGTTGTAATGGAAGTAGTCATTATGGGTGCGGGTGAAATCTGGTGCCTTTTCAGTAACTCTACATAACCGAATTCACAATGTTATTTAGTTTAACTGGACTATAAACAGACCTCTATATATTATATAGGATAGGTGGGTAGGTGTTTTGATATTATTCATGTTATCCTTTAACGCAGTATATACATGATTCTCTTTCACAGAAAGCGGAGGAATAAAGAGAAGATGTGGTTTACAGAAGCTCATACAATATGGACTCCATTGTAACTAAAATAATTTGTATTAAATTAGTTCATGTAGAATACAAATAAACCCTGTGTTTATACTGACCCCTGTGTTTGCTAGTGGTTATTTTAATAATATCTACTTTATTCTGCTTTACAAGAAGTAGAGAGTCAACATGGGTAACATAATATCTATAGGGTCTTTCCGTAGTGGAACATTTTCTCACTCCGGTTTTATATTAATAATAAAACACATTATCATTAAGGACCGTTTACATTCTTTGTATGTTCTATAGTCTTTTCATGGGACATATCTCTACATTGTCTCTCATTTCATTCACCAAGTCCAGGCTTAAAGAATGAACCCATCAGTAAAGAAAACCTTTGTGAACACTTCACTAGTATGTAAACCCAGCAGGCACCCTATATGGCAACTTCATGTAATTCCAAACAGGCAGAATAAGTAAATCTACATCAAATACCGGTATACATGACATCTATATCAGCATTCTATCTAGAATTATAAAAGTTCATGTTCCTCGTCTGCCGTTTTAAGAGGTGAATACATTGTATTTATGTGCTTCATGTACAAACCTGCAGGAATAATATAAGATGATGCTCAGCCTACTTTTTTATACAGTTTAATATTTTCCAGGACTGAACGCCACAACACATATCATTTATTTTTAAAAATATTTTCTAAGTACAACCAGGAAATGTATTACTTTGCTGAGCAAGGCTTTAAATGTTTCATAGAGGAATCATTGGAGCTTCACGATCTAATATTAAGGAAAATTATTCCACACTTACCATCATTTTCTTTTCCTGCTCGTTATACGTGACAGCATTTACTTATGGGTTAGCCATCTCCTCACAGAAGAAATTATAAGAATTAGAATTCTGAAATTGGTATAAATAGATCCACCCCCTCCCCATCAGAAACTCTTTGTAACTAGCTTCACAACTCTCATAAAAGAAGGAGGGGAACGTAATGCTGCCATGAATAAAGATCAAAAAAATAAAATTATGGTAACTATGGAAATATATATATATATGAGACACCAGGGGGCTGCACTCACCTGAACATGCATAAATGGGGTGCTGCTGGGGGCCAAGTTATACAATGTACAAGATCCAGCGTACTCACCTATCCACTTAACAGCAACTTTTAATGTTGACAGATTTTATTATTTTATTTTTAAAACACCTAATTTTGGCAAAAATAATGGGGGCTTAATTAGATTATATGATCATATATATATATATATATATATATATATATATATAGTGAGAGGAATGAAGTTCAAATATCTATTATAATAGTAACAGATATGAAACACATTACTGAGCTGCACAAAGCTAACAAGCCTTTTCAAAAAGCCGAATGAGTAATCAAAAGGACATCCTCATAATATCTGCTCAGACAAACGACGGTACCCACCCAACTGACTGCTGGTCGGCAATACCATAGTATTCAAATACAGAGAATATCCTGGATAAATATAGTGCCTGCTAGGATTAAGGTCATAATAACCAAACCTATAAAGGAACAGGTCTTCATGTTCGATATTGACAGGCCTAGGCCAATACAAGACAAACTCCAGTGAGAAATGAGAGTCCCTTCTTGCAGGTGGTATGCTATTAAGAATAATAAGATATGTTAAAGGAGAACAGTGGTGTGATGAAGTCTTAAGATGGTGGGGCCAGACTGCTCATCCAGAATTTTACTCCTCTCAATACAGTACGGAATTACTCAAACAATACAGAATGTTGAGTATAATACAGAGACACTCATACAATGAAACAAGCTGGGCACAACATAAATATATCTATAAAATACACAGCGCTGATTACAATACAGAGATAAGCAAACCACAAACTGAGCTGAGAAAAAAATAGAGCTATAATAGACAGAGCTGGACACAATACACAGGTACCTATACAATACACAAAGCTGGGCACAATACAAAGATGCCTATACAATACACAGAGTGGGGCACAATACAAAGATACCTATACAATACACAGAGTGGGGCACAATACAAAGATACCTATACAATACACAAAGCTGGGCACAATACAAAGATGCCTATACAATACACAGAGTGGGGCACAATACAAAGATACCTATACAATACACAGAGATGGGTAGACTACACAGATACCAATAGAACAAGCATAGTTGAGTAAAATACAGAGAAATAACACACAGAGCTGGGCACAATAATGGGATAACATACATCTCTCTCTCTTTCTCTCTGTCTATCTTCCTAGCCCTCTCTTAGACCACCCTTACACCATCTCATCTTCAGTAATGCTCCTGCAATGGCAACTTTAGCTTTCTATTAAATATTGCTGCTGTTATGAAACATGTCAGCTACTGCATTAGCTCTCAGCACACAGTGTGTGTACGTGGTTAAGGCATCAAGATACTGATAAACTCCAACTCCTGACTTTTTAAGCACATAGTGCAGGGCTCGAGTCCTGCAGGAATGCATGGGAACGGCGTTCCTGCACTTTTTCCAAAGCAGGAACGCCGTTCCCGTTACCTGTCCTGCAGGACCGGCCGTGCTACCTGCACAGAGGGGCCAGCACACGCTGTGTTCCCTCTCCAGCTATAACTCTCGCGAGACCCGCGGCTGTTACCATGGCAACGCTCCGCACAGGCGAGTCTCGCGAGAGTTAGAGCTGGAGAGGGAACACAGCGTGTGATGGCCCCTCTGTGCAGCGGCTGGCTCCCTCCACCGGACCACCAGGCGATCTCCCCCCTCCCTGACAAGGTAAGAAGCAGGGAGGGGGGAATAAAATAAACAAATATACATACACATAAAGTAAAAAAAAAATGCTTCCCCTCCCCATCATCCAGCACACATACACTCACACACCCATCATCCAGCACTCACAAACACACATCATCCAGCACTCACTCACACATCATCCAGCACTCACTCACACATCATCCAGCACTCACTCACACACCCATCATCCAGAACTCACACACACACATCATCCAGAACTCACACACACACATCATCCAGAACACACACACCCATCATCCAGCACTCACACACCCATCATCCAGCACTCACACACACATCATCCAGCACACACACACACACACACACATCATCCAACACGCACTCACACACACATCATCCAGCACACACACACACTCATCATCCAGCACTCACACACACACATCACACATCATCCAGCACTCACACACATCATCCAGCACTCACATACCATCATCCAGCACACGCACACACATCATCCAGCACTCGCACACACATCATCCAGCACACACACACACACATCATCAGCACTCACACACTCTTCATCCAGCACTCACACACTCTTCATCCAGCACTCACACACTCTCATCCAGCACTCTCACACACTTCATCCAGCACACACACACATCACCCAGCACACACACACACATCATCCAGCACGCACACACACGTCATCCAGCGCACACACACACGTCATCCAGCGCGCACACACACATCATCCAGCACACACTGCATTCATTATACACACTCTTCACTCACTACAAACACACTACACTCACTATACACTCACTACAAACACACTACATTCACTATACACCCTCTGCATTCACTATACACACTCTGCATTCATTATACACATTCTGCACTCACTACACACTACATTCACTATACACACTCTGCATTCACTACAAACACACTACATACACTGCATTCATTGTACACACTCTGCACTCACTACAAACACACTAAATTCATTATACACAATTTGCACTTACTACAAACACACTATATTCATTATACACACTCTGCACTCACTACAAACACACTACATTGACTATACACACTCTGCATTCATTATACACACTGCACTCACTACAAACACACTACATTTATTATACACACTGCACTCACTACAAATACACTAAATTTTTTATACACACTGCACTCACTACAAATACACTACATTCATTATACACACTCTGCACTCACTAAAAACACACTGCATTCATTATACACAGTCTGCACTCACTACAAATACACTACAATTATTATTCACACTGCACTCACTACAAACACACTACATTTATTATTCATACTCTGCATTTACTACAAACACACTACATTCATTATACACACCCTACACTGCACTATATGCATAGGAGTGTAATTTAAAAAAATTTAGGGGGAGGAATCTTGGGTGAGTTCCCACACTTTTTTCCCCCAGGACTTGACCCCTGACATAGTGTACACAGGGTTAAAGCAGAGGGATGTTGATAGACTTCTTATTAGCTTTACAGCTGGCAATCTAATTATTCTGCGGTAGTAATATGCAGCCAATAAGAAGCTGACATGGTTAACAGAATTAACAATCATTACAGGTTAAAACAGATTGAAATCAGAATCACATCAGTCCTCAGAGTCACAGCCCCTGTCCTGCAATGTACAGCTTAACAACTTTTCAACTAGCTACATCATGAGTGTCTCAGTTCTCAGCAGTAGAGTGACTGAGCACACACAAAGAAGGGGGGTATATGCCATAGGAGTTATAGAAACTATTAGTGACAGGCAGCACAGTGCTCTTTGTCAGAAATGTTCCCCTCCACTTGTCACCCCTTGTATACAAGAGCACCCAGCAGTCCATCCCCTCTATTCTGCTTAGACTAATGAGATAGCATTAGCCTAAGCAGCAATGGGTGGCTATGATTGGCTAACAGTGTCAGCTGACGCATTCAACCCTTCAGAGCGCTCATTCTAGGTATGAATTGGTATACCTTGAAGAAAATTTGTAGGCTTTGCCCTAGCCACACATCCAGGGGGCTGGGCTGTGGGTTGGCAGGGACCCTTATCGGGGCCGGTGCAACCATAAGCATTCGCCTGGGGGGCAGACCTACGGGGGGTGCCCACCGAGATATTTCCCACCAGCGTCGGGCTGATCCTACAGGTGCCCGAAGGTGGGTTGCTGAGAGGAGCCTTGTCAGTGAGTGTGTGTGTGTGTGTGTCTGTGTGTGTCTGTGTGTTTGTCAGTGAGTGTGTCTGTTAGTGAGTGAGTGTGTGTCTGTCTGTCTGAAAAATGTTTTGCTTAGAGTGAACC